GCCCGACGCGGGGCTCGATCCCAGGACGCTGAGATCATGACCTGAGCCGAAGGCAGAGGCCCAACCACTGAGCCACCCAGGCGCCCCATGCAGGAGCTTTTAAAAGCTCTTTCTCCACATTTATCTCCTTTTCCAAAGTCTTCCTTCCCCAGGTTTTTGTTCTTTCTATTGCTTGCCCTAGCTTTTGCTCTTATGTGCTTTTGGCAAATGCCCAAATGCCACCCGTTGCTCTGCTCCCTTGGGGAGTTACTGGACAGATCCAAACATACATCCTCAGTTCATTGTGAATAGAGTCTGTATCGCTCCCTCTGACGCTAGCAACCTTCACCAGGAATTCATACTGCTGTCTTCAGGACCAACAGCAATCTGGAGAATGGGAGACAGTAAGCAGGAAATTTTAAATGCCACAACACTCTCCTATTGCAGCGGACCAGCTTCTTTATTCATTATGCTTTCCTCTAGTTGTAAGTTTTTGGCCAGATTTTAGACTTCTATGAAAGTTGACTCTGACAGTGTTGCCAGTTGTTATTGTGAAGGGACAGAGCCCTGATGTTCCCTAGTCCACTATTTTTAGTGACTTTGCTCCTCTTATTTTCTTCAAATTGCTAATCTGTACTCATATAAAGAAGTCAGTCTCCTTTAGACATTGACTTTAATAATATATCACTCTAATATATATGTAAACAGGAAAATATAAGCCAGGTATATTGCTTAAGATATTTCTACACTTCATATTCCTTGCTTGTCTGCTCTGAACCACTTTTAAGTTCAGTCTTTGATGTTTGGGCTTTCTACACAACACTACTCTCTGTTCCCCCTAGAGAGTTTATGATTTATAACTTCTTTTTTTTTTTAAAGATTTTATTTATTTATTTGACAGAGAGAGATCACAAGTAGACAGAGAGGCAGGCAGAGAGAGAGAGAGAGAGAGAGGGAAGCAGGCCCCCTGCTGAGCAGAGAGCCCGATGCGGGACTTGATCCCAGGACCCTGAGATCATGACCTGAGCCGAAGGCAGCGGCTTAACCCACTGAGCCACCCAGGCGCCCCAAGATTTAGAACTTCTTAAAGGGCACTCTCCACTGTCATCCCCAGGACTTCACTCCCAGCCTCTTACACCCACATACAAGCAATGACAAACATCATAACTGACACACTGGTAACTGTCATATGAATCCCAATTTCAACAAAATATGAAGAAATATATATCTAATAATTGGCAATATGTGGAATGTCTTTTTCTTAGAAACCAGATGAGGAAATGATTGATTTGGCTAACACGGGACACAGAAAGCAACAGAAAGATATTTTGGGAGGGCTAGGGAGTTGGTGGAAGGATCTGACCAGCCAAGCAGTAGAAAAGTCCTGTCAGCAGAACCATCAGCATCACACGCAGGGGACCAGGCAGGTCTGTAAGATATTCAGAGTTGAGTCACGTGTCAGTTGCTTATGGTAGGAAATGGATTTAAAGAAGTGGGCAGTGGAGGGTTCATAGTTGGAAAGTGAAACACTGGTGTCTTGGCCAAGGACTTTTCAGAAGATTCTGAAAAGCAGAGTAATGTGATGACATCTTCCTCCTCAAAGATCTCTTGGAGGCCATGTGAAAATGGTTTGCATGTGGAGGACAGATTGTGAGGTCTGTGGCTCTGTGGGTGAGCAAGTGTGACAGAAGTGCTACCAAGGGGGTAGCTGAGGAGCTGGGCTGTGGCAAGGAGGAGGGAGACAGTACAAGCTGACTGGGGGATAAGTCCACTTGACATGTTGGGAAGGCAAACCACTTCTCCTTTGTGTTTTTATTATAGGGAATGTGAGCAAATATATGGCAAATTGGACAACTGACCCATATAATCAAATACCTGTTCACAGCTCTGGCTACTGCTTAGTCCGGGGGCTCAGTCTCACAAATGACAGAGGCTGAAGTGAACACAGAAATGTTTACCTGTCGCAGTAGGTTTTTATTAAAATACAAAGGATTTAATAGCATCAAGTGACCCCAACACATAGGGACCTTGAGTTTTTACTATATTGGCCCTTGTCTTGCCTTTTCAAAATTAATACATTTGGAATGAGATTTATCCAAGAAAGTCTATATTTGTATCTTCACTATTGTCTAACACAAAACACACAAAAAAACCACATAAAAATATACCATGAAGTTAAAATTAGCCCTAAGGTAGGTTAACAAAGTATGTAATGTGATAGTTGAGAGTAATAAACTGAAGAGGGCACTAAAGTCAGCAAAGTCTCTTTCCTCTTGAAACTTCATTTTTACACTTTAGATACCAGTGTTCACAACACATTTGCACTGTTTCAGATTTTAATTGGGAGGAGACCTGTTTTTGTTTCACATCTTGTGCCATATGAAGGGTCGAAAAACGATCCCTCATTAGAACTGAGTTATGGTCACTGTGTTATGAATGCAGAGGAGGAAACCCAAGTAACTTTCTAACCCTGACAATGCTCAAAAATACTAGAACATACTGAAATTTTTTTTTTTTTAGATTTTATTTATTTATTTGACAGAGAGAGATCACAAGTAGGCAGAGAGGCAGGCAGAGAGAGAGAGGGAAGCAGGCTCCCTGCTGAGCAGAGAGCTCAATGTGGGGCTTAATCCCAGGACCCCAAGATCATGACCTGAGTGGAAGGCAGAAGCTTATGAGCCATTCAGGTGCCTCTGAAAATTTTAAGCATTTTCAGCCTCCTGGATTTCTAAAAGACTGATGTGTTTAGAAAATCCATCTCACCTGTGCTCAGCACAGGAGTGTCCTTATAAACATGGGGAATCCAAAGTTTCCAACCTTTTACAGAAATGCTTTCTTACTTGACGCCTTCCTTTCAGCAGTTCTGCTAAGAATACCAAAGACTCAGGAGGTTCAAGTAATTATTTGAAACAGATCCCTAACAATGAGAAATGATGAAGAACAACTCAGTATTTATCTTGAATAAATTTATAGTAGACTAGGAAAGGGCAGAAAGTGGAGATTTCAAGAAAGGACTATGAACAACTACCATCAAAAAACCCCAAAACGTCTATTATTTTTTAAAAAGTAATTTGCCCTAAAATGTCACAACAAATCCATACTTTGCTGGTCTATGATCTCTCCCTGTAACTCCCTCTGGAAAAAGGAAGAAAAAATTGAAGAAATCTAAAAGTGATTATTTAATTAGTGCATAATACATTATTTTTCTTTAAAGATTTTATTTATTTATTTGACAGGCAGAGATCACAAGTAGGCAGAGAGGCAGGCAGAGAGAGAGAGGGAAGCAGGCTCCCCGCTGAGCAGAGAGCTCAATGTGGGGCTGGATCCTAGGACCCTGAGATCATGACCTGAGCCCAAGGAAGAGGCTTTAACCCACTGAGCCACCCAGGTGCCCCTAATTAGTGCATAATACATTTTAAAAAGTTGGCCTAACATCTCAAGCTCAATCTTAATCTGGTATCTGAATCTACTAATCACACCGAATTATTTTTATGAGAATATGGTTCCTCTGTATATTTATTTTACATCCTCTAATTAATTGCAGAGGGCTTCAATAGTGTTTCTATGGGTTCTTAAATAAATAAGAACAGAGAAATTTGTCTGGGTATGCATGAGCCCACACTACATGTGTCACTCAGTTTTACCCTTCATAGGAAATTAATCAGTAGTGTAACATCAACACCGTGTGTCCTCTCCAAGTAATTATAAAGCAACAAGTTTGTTGTTGTAGGAAACCTATTAAATATCCATAGTACATCATCAGAAATTACCTCTGGAATTTGACTGCAGAAACTGGCGCAATTCGTGTAGCATAGGTTTTTGGACACAATGTCTGATATGTGAGAAGCCGAAGGCAAGCATAAATGTGAGACAGAAGCCATGTTTGAATAGGGACAGTGATTTAATAAATGGAGTTGACCAGGAATGCACAAATTTCAGGAAACTTAACTAACAAAATCAATCCATACTGTTTTCATGCGTTTTACGGTATGAAGAGCTAGCAATTTAATAATCTATCAGAGCTGCAAGTACAAATTTTCTCCTGAAGACCAGCTGCTTTAGATTCAAAAGGTCTCTGGAACACTGAGGCAAGAAAGAGCCCGGAAGTAAAAAACAAAAACAAAAACAAACTGGAGCAGAAAACACCGCCACGAGATGGCACTGCTTTAGAAGGTCTAGAAGGGACGTCAGCGCGCAGGGAGCGCGGTGCCTCGGGGCCTCGGGTCTGCGCTGCTTTGCGTGGTTCCAGCCGGCCCTCGGGCCTGGCTGGATCTGCGCGCGCTGGAGGCTGCTATATTTAGGGCGGCGGGAGGCTCAGACAAGCGTCGTGACTCCTCTCCCATTTGCTGCGTTCCGCAGTCCCGGCCTGGAAGTTCCAGCCGCGACGCCTAGCCTTAACCTCCAGTGCCTTTGACCCCTGAGAAGGGCCAAATTGGGCCCCGAATTCTCGGAAAAGTGTGAAGCAGGCCCCGCCCATTGTGCCCTCCAAGCCGCCCCAGATGTGGACCAGGGTCTCCGGGACCGGAGCCGTGGCTGGAGAACGTCCCTAGGCTCTATCTTCCGCACCAGAGACGCCCTCCCCCAGTTTGAGCTCCCCCTGAGGATGGGAACGGGCCCGGGACAAGCCGCGGCCAAATCCCGGTTTTGATTTCACTGCCGGCTGCGAGAGCGAAAAGGTTCCAAACCCAACAAACAGGAAGAAGAGAAAAAGCCGGAGTGCGGGCAGAGGGAGGGTCATTCCCAGCAGAGGCGCAAGGGCTGGGCCGGAGATGGGGGCGGGGAAGAAGCAGCGCCCCTTCCCCTCTAGCGCGGGCCTGGGGTGAGGAGGGAAGGAGCAGCGAGAACTGCAGCGGGTCGGGAGCGGGGGGTTTCGGGGGTGGCGCCGGGACCTGGCGGGGCGGGGGCTCCCCGGACGCGGCCGCCCGCAGTCCCCCTCCCCGCGGCCCGGGGCGCCCCCGCGGTTCTGGAGTCGGGGCGGGGCATGCGCGTCAGCTCGGCTAGAAAAGGCGGCGGGGCCCTGCCCAGAGAGGTGACAGTCACGCTCAGAGTAGGACCCCGGCTCGACGCCGCCATGAGCGCTGCGCTCTTCAGCCTGGACGGCCCGGCACGCGGCGCGCCGTGGCCCGCGGAGCCCGCACCCTTTTACGAGCCGGGCCGGGCGGGCAAGCCGGGCCGCGGTAGCGAATCGGGGACTCTGTCCGAGCCCGGCGCCGTTGCCCCTGCCATGTACGACGACGAGAGTGCTATCGACTTCAGTGCCTACATTGACTCCATGGCTGCCGTGCCCACTCTGGAGCTGTGCCACGACGAGCTCTTCGCCGACCTTTTCAACAGCAACCACAAGACGGGCGCGGCAGGCACCGCTGCGGGCTCCTTGGAGCTGCTGCCCGGCGGCCTCGCGCGTACCCACGGTCCGAGCACAGCCGCCCCGCGTCCGCTCAAGCGCGAGCCCGACTGGGGAGACGGCGACGCGCCCGGCTCGCTGCTGCCGGCGCAGGTGGCCGCTTGCGCGCAGACCGTTGTGAGCCTGGCGGCCGCCGCACAACCCACACCACCCACGTCGCCCGAGCCACCGCGCTGCAGCCCCGGGCCGAGCCCTGCTCCTGGCCCGGCCCGGGAAAAGAGTGCGGGGAAGAGGGGCCCAGACCGCGGTAGTCCGGAGTACCGGCAGCGGCGCGAGCGCAACAACATCGCGGTGCGCAAGAGCCGCGACAAGGCCAAGCGGCGCAACCAGGAGATGCAGCAGAAGCTGGTGGAGCTGTCGGCCGAAAACGAGAAGCTGCACCAGCGCGTGGAGCAGCTCACGCGGGACCTGGCTGGCCTTCGGCAGTTTTTCAAGCAGCTGCCCAGTTCCCCCTTCCTGCCGGCCGCCGGGGCCGCCGACTGCCGGTAACGCGCGCCCCGGGGGCGGGAGAGACTCACCAACGACCGATACCTCAGACCCGACCAGCTAGGGAGCGGAGCGCGCCCCGCCGGGACGCAGCGAGAGCCGCTTGGCGCCGCCTGCATTTCCTTTGGGACGCGCGAGCGAAGGACCCTACAGCCTGGACTTAACCACCACCGAACTTCGAGAGAAACTATACGTGTTTATTGCCCTTAAATTATTTTTATAATGGTAGCTTTTCTACATCTACTCTTACTGAAGCAGCTAAGGTACATTTATAAGAAAAAAGACTTCTCAAACCATTTGTTATTGTAGATAAGAGGAAAAGACTGAGCATGCTCACTTTTTTATATTAATTTTTACAATATTTGTAAGAATAAAGAAGCATTTAAAACCGCCCCTGATTCCTGTATTTACAGTGACTCCTGAATGCTGGTAGCCCCAGGACCTCGCTGGGGAAAGGCACATTCCAGTGCCAGGCATGCAGCAAGGCACCGGGAGGCCGCGGGACCCAGGTGTGTGTCCATGAGGGGAACCAAGTTCCTTAGGAGGGTCTGTTTTGCTTTTGAAACGAGCCACAGTCTACCTCCAAATGTTAATATTTGCCTAAGTTTTTGTTAATGCTAGCAGCTTTTTGTGGAAGGTGCTCCCAAAGAAGTAGCCGGATTTGGGGAGGAGGCTGGCTTGTCGACTGACCCTGCAGCTGATTTAGGGGCTCTATGAAGAGCTAAAGTGCTCCCTAATTTTAGTTGGCTGCTCAAGGGGTGAGGGGGTAGTGGAAGGGCTTCGGTTATCCGATAGTCACGTCTGACTCATGTTTGGCTTTCATGGGACTTTGCTTTCACTTTTCCTCAGCCTTATGTACTGCTTCAAATACATTCTCAAAGTATATATAAATACAATAGTCCTGTAGGAGATGCAAAGGACAGTCAGAAATCTTGTCATTGTAATGTTTCAAAGTTTAATCAGGACAAATAAAGCCGTTCGCCTTTCTCCCAATTAAAGTGGGTACTAGGCACCCTTTCTTGCTCTAGGTTAGGTCTATATTATGTAATTAACTGTGGCCTGTCGTCATCATATTGTAAGGGAGGAAACAAAATACTGTCTAAAGATAATCTGTTTATCATTTTATATTAATTTAAATCTCTGCCAACAAAGCAAACATAACCAGTCACTCCTTTTCAATCTGTAATCTCGGCTCTCTGTACACAGTACCCAGCAAGATTAAATAGATCTAGCATGAGCTATCTATATCTCTGTGCAGTACAGCCTTAATCACACCAGGTATCTTACATATACTTTATGGGTAACAGTTTACCTCTGGCACAGTCCCCAAAATTATTTCCCCAAATTATTAAACTTTCCCAAAATTATTAAACGGCAAAATGTTTAAGTTGGACATGTACTGTGTAGTAGAACAGTTGTATTACAATTTAGGACAAATAGTTCAGCTCTGCAGGGTGTTCTTTGGGACACCTTAAATAACTACAAGAAAAACGTGTTGAATCATGGTAAAATTTAAACACTTAAGAATTACAAGTGAACACAACTTTTTTCTTACCTTTTTACTATTAATTGCCTAAGATGAAATACAAAATGAAGACCTCAGGCTTATTTAAGTTTTAATAACATGTTCCCAAATTTGCAAAAAGATAAAAATATTTTAACTAGAAAAAAATATTTTGATGTTTAGTTTACAAAATAATCACACTAACATTTGCCCCAGAAAAATCTAAGTTCCATTTCAAGATCATACAATAACAGTCGCTCTACCTATAGTTAACAAGTAACTACCCCAAGCGTAACCGCTTTGCAAAGTTCACAGATCCTACGGCAACCGGCAGTGTTCTGATGAGGCTCTTCCTGCACTCAGGAGCTCAATTTCCTCCAATCCAACGCAGCTAGCTGGGTGGGTGGTTATGGACTGGACAAAACAATTCAACAACCCCACCTCCTTTCCGAGGACACTCTTCACTTCATAACTCTGCAGTGATAGAAGGCACACTGGTTAAAGCAAATAGAGCCAGCCCTGAACGTTCTGTTCCCAACAACACGGAACACACAGGGCAGAGCAGAAGGTCCTTTGCTCAGTGTGTGACCTTCCACTTTACTACATGGGTAAGGAAGAAAAAAACAAGAACACGGGTAAGGAAGAAAAAAATTAAGGGCTTGATAAAAACTCTACTTACTACGGCAAATGAAGGAACTCCTTTTTTCTGCTGTTGGTGGATGCAAAGACAAGCATATCCCAGCTAGCTGTCCTATGAGAGGAACTGGGGACAGACATACAAAGGGATATGCCCTGTTCTCTAGCTGGAAGGCTGGGGGCTGGGCATGCATCATGGTTGCAGCTGTCTCCCACTTCCTGTGGGACACTTCCCCAATCTAGCAACACTTCTGGTCAAAGGATTTCCTGGTACTTTGCCCCAAACCTCTCTCAATAGAATCCCATCCCATTTCTTCTACAGTAACACTGAGCCAAAAATGTGTTATAAAAAGCTTTTTCTTCACATTGTTTGATGAGTATCTTATGGTGATTGGTTAATCTTAGGCAGGTTTCATCTCTAGATGAGAACTCAGGGCACTGGACATCAGGGGCATAAGATGACTAGGCTAGGAAGGTATGGCAAGGCTTTGTTGGTCTCAAACCTCAGAACATTTTCTTCCTGGGGTGGGGCAAGGGGCTGAAAATAAGGAGCAACTCAAAAGTGTTGGGATAAATCAGATCTGTGGCTTTACCAGAGACAAAAGAAACCCTAGAGAGTAATGCATTTTTTCAGAGACTCCTTTGCTACCACTTGTAGAATACTATCTGGGTTACCTCACTCCTCTGTACAAGACACTTTTTAAAAAAATATTTTATTTTTATTTGTCAGCAAGAGAGAAACCACAAGCAGGGGGAGGGGGAGAGGGAAAAACAGGCTCTCGATGCAGGGCTTGATCCCAGGACCCTGGGCATGACCTGAGCCTAAGGCAGCCGCTTAACGACTAAGCCACCCAGGAACCCCTATGTGCAAGACACTTACACATCTCTATAGTATCTCAGTTCAGTATGTTTTAGCTCACCCATTCCATCATTAATGTGTCTTGGCAAGGGAGATTGAGGCTGGAGGCTCCAACAACATGGCCAAAGTTGGCACATCTCTGTGTCCTTAGTGCCTTCCCATCAAAGGTGGGCACTTCACTGCTGTCACTCTGGATCCTGGGCTGGGCTCAGTGACTACTGCTTATGATGACTGTGGTGGAAGGGACATTGAGCGACATCCTCAGCTTGGTCAGGAAGGTGCCCAGCCTCTGCCTGCCTCTCTCAGAATCCAGACACATGTCCTGAGGGAATCCAGACTGTGTGGTATCTGGCCAGAGCCCGGGAAGGTCCCAGGCAATAGGAGTATGACAGCCGGCCAGCGACCGAGGGTGTTCTGTGACTCTAACCCAGCCTTAGGGGTACCAGCTGATGTCCTGTTGGGCAGAGATGAGTTGTCCTGGCAGAGCCTTATCCAAGTTGCAGGTCTGTGTGCAGAGTAAGTGTGGAGGCTACTAAGCTTTGAGATAGTTTATTCTGAAGCAATACATAGCAGGATCAATCTGGGATGTGGGCATTGCTCTAAAGCCCAACCACTGTGATCATTTTGCTTTCCTGTATTTTAAGTCAGGCATGGTGTGAAACACTTAGTGTATTCACTTGTAGAGTTTAGGCTTCTTTAGTGAAAATTAGAGTAAGGTCAACAGAGTGGTTTAATGGAGGGAAGGGGGAGTAAGTTGTAATCAAGACAGGTGAAGAGACAGAACTAAAGTCTCTGCCTGGACAACCATGGCTGAGGCCTTCCTCCGCTTAGCTTATCTGTGACACTGATGTCAGGTTCATGGGCCACTGTCTTGATCATTCATCAAGGGCTTGCTGTGAACCCATGAGGCGCCTGACCCTGAAAAGATGGCAGAAAACCAGCCACAGGGGTGCTGGTGCAGAAGGTGCACACAAGGCTGTGCATAGTGAGGGGCTGTCCAGGTTTGGAAGGACTGAGGTAGGCCAGCTGGATACTCATTTACTGTCTCTTCCCACTTTAGCTAGCCTTGCACATGTGTGTATGGGGAAGTAGAAGGCCCAGGCACTTCTACATTCATTTAGGGTAAAAGTACAGATTCTAACTTGAAAAAAAAGTCAGCAACAGATCATTTCTTTTTACAATGTCAGGTTTCACAGCTAAAGTTTATAATAACTATATCATAGCCAATATTAACTATATCATTTATAAGTAGACATCAATATATTTGGGAGAAATTAATATGGAGAGGTAAAAAAAAAATCACACCAGCAAATGCAAACACACTGTTCATATGAATGTAATGAATGTGTAAAATGTATCTCTATTTTTATAAAAGGCACCCTATATTTTCCTTTAACTTTTCTTTTTCTGAAAGTAAGGAAACAAACTCCAAATTTCCTATCACTGTAATGTGAGCTTGAGAACTGATATGTATAATGGTGGCAAACTCCATTGTTTTCACATCTTTAACTTGAACCCATTAAAGTTAAGGCATAAAACTTAACACTCATGTGTCCTAACCAGAAACAGCACATCTGTTCTAGGGAGTAGAGTTCTCATGGGAAGCCTAATCTGATTCTTTGGATTTTGGCCAATATGCATTCTCACCCAGAAAACTGACAGAATCCAGACTGGAAAACTCATGCTCTTGTCAACACAGAGGTCCTTCTTGTACCCATCTCCTATCAGCTTCTTGCAGGTCAGATATAAAGTCCTGATCATCCACTGAGAGTAAAACTGGAGGAGGGGAGATGAACTGCTGTCCCTCCAGGTTTGCAATTTACCCTACTTTGCATGCAGTCAGCTCTGATAACAGGGCACCCAGAAAGGTAACACCCGAGGCTGTTGCCACCCTGTGCCCCTCACCTGTGCCCCTCACCCAGTGCACACGTGCACACACAGGCACATAATCAGGCAACACATGTACACATGAACACAGACAGGTGTATACACACAAGTACACCCATGGGCAAACCCACCTACACTGACACACACACACACACACACACAAGTATGGTTGTACACATGACCTCTTGAGCTCTTTAGAAGTCGGGCTTTGCCTACAGGCATACTGGAGTAAAGAAGTGTAATATGTAAAATGTACAAGTCAGCTTCAGTCAGAAGGAAATCAAATGAAGAGGCAGGATTTCTGCCAGGGCCTCCTCCTGGTGTCTGGGTCCCTTATAGGGAGGTAGGGTAATCAAGGGCAGTCCATGGCTGGAGGCTTCCTAGAAGAAGCACCAGGAAACCTGTGAGAAACCAGTGGGAGATCAGGCCCGAACCTGGTAGGGCCCAGCCAAGGCCACCTGAGGAACTGCAGGGCAGGCACGGCACCTCTGTGGTTGTGTGGGACTAAAGGGAGCTATGTGCCATCCCAAGTGCTGTTGGTTCTTCTTTGTTTAAGTTGTGGGTTTGATTCATTTGCTGTGTTCTCCTTAAGGAGGAGTCTTCCCCACACTTTCCTCCAATCTTTTCCATGGAAATATCTTCCCTCATAACTTAGATCTACCATCTTTAGGACCTGTTTAAAGCTCCCTCTAATTCATCAGCCTTACCCAGCATCACGCCCTTCTTTCCTCATCCTCCCCCACCTCAAAGACCGAGAGATGAGGTGACAAGGGATCAGCCAACAGGTACTACTGTCTTGTCACACATTAAACATATAAACTTCAGGAACAACAGAAACAAACACACAAGGATCCCGGTCACCCTCCCCCCATTCTATTAGGTGGTCACTTGTGGGGATAACAATGTACCCAACAGAGACCGTAACTGTGAACCCTGCACTCTTGTTTCTTCAGTGGTAAAATGTGGATTCTGCATCATTGAGATGTTGCAGAGATTAAATAAGACAACGTGTGAGAAAAGTGGTAAGCATAGTTCTTAGTCCATTATAGTTATTTACTTACATTTTACTTTAAACATTCAGGGAATAACTAGTTCATAAACCCTCCTAAGACTTAGTCTATGCATCAATCCCTACCTGTGAAACAGCCCTTTAGATAAAGGTTTGGTGCTGGGCTGGAAGTGTCACAGAGTTGCTTTAGGGAATGCCCAGGCTGGTGGGCTTTATCCCAGGGTGGGAGCCAGAAATGCTTTTTAGAGCTCCATAGGCAGTTTCACCTGAAATCAGGGTTGGAAACCATTGTCAGACCAGTGATCCTCAATGATCTTATTCATGGATTTATCCATGTTCCAATTTAGTCCAAACTCTGAGAGCCGTGGTTTTGAGGAAGGAGTACAAATGGCTGTTCTGCCTCCTCAAGCTGCCAGCACCTCCTAAGGGGCAGGGGCTTGCTGCCACTGGAGAGAGAAGACCCTCAGAGCTCCACAGGATGGATAAATTCAGCCTGTGTTCAGACTGCAATCAGAGCTGGAATTTGACCATGGGACCCCATCAGAAAGTTCTATAGGTGATCACCCAGCTTTTCACCACAACCTTCCAGCTCGCCCAAGTGTGCTACTTGCATGTGGACCCTAACACTGGCCTTGGATAACTTTTGTGACCTGAGGGCTGTGCCCTGGCATCACTCCAGTGGTCAGTGTCCAGTGCACTTCTCTGGGGTTCAGAGATTCCTGAAGCCACTTGTGGTACTTTTAAATGGCGTGGACAAGACAGAGGTGGCATCTCAAAGACAGACCTCTCTTGTTCATGAGGGCCAAATTTCACAAGGAAGAAACTGTCTCTAGACCATAAATTATATATATTTAGGTGGTGGTTTTCTTGGAGGAGCATACCACTTTATTCAGGCTCACACCATAGTAACTCTCAGGGAAGGCAAAACAGTTCTGAGAAATAATGGTCAAGTTTCCAGTTACTCATTCTGGAATACCCAGCAATTAAAAAACACAAAACATGTGTCTCAGATATTTCTGTTCTATTAAAATGAATCATGGCAGTAGGACTTGAAATGTTGCCGGTCTATCATCAAAGCCAATGGGGTCATATTCATGTATCTACTGTAGGTTTGGTCAGGAAATCATTCAATTCCAAAAAGAAAAGGATCTCATGAATCGACACAAGTATTTGTCAGGGAATGAAAGCAGTTAAGACTTACCCGTGTCTTGGTACAGTCTGAACACCTAGCATGCACACAATGATACTGTGACACTTTGTTGTAAGTGGAAGTACATAGGACAGGGATCTTCACCTGGAGAGGAGATCCACTGACTCAGGGCTTAAGAACACAGGGTTGCACACCTGGGCTGCATGTCCCTGGACTTACCCCATCCTCGCAGGCGGCAAACCTCAGGAGTGAAGAAATACTGGTCTGGGACAGCTGCAATAACAGTGCGGTGGGCTGATTAAACTCCCAGGGCTGAAGCAGGTGCTCATGTTCAATCTAATCATGTTCAATCAGGTGTTAATGTTCAACCTCCATCTCTTTAGCAGCTTCCACCTCAGAGCCTTATGTTAAACCTGACTGTAAGTTATGGATGTGGAAAGACTGCTTTCCTGAGGGGCTGTCCTTCCCATTCCCTCCCCAGGGAAGGACCAATAGATGCTGCCCTCTTGGCTAGCAGCAGAGCGGCTCCATGAGGTGGAGTAGGAAGCACACAACCTCTTACACCGCTCCTACCTTGACCTTCACTGTGCAATGGGGTCGAGAGGGACAGTCCAGGAACACCTGCAGGTGCTTTCTGAGAAGAGGAGAGGTGACCACACGGGAGCAGTCCCCACAGGAAAAGATGTCTCTGTTGTTTGGAAACACACAGGGAAGATAAGACTTGAAAAGGCACAAATCAGAAGAATCTAGCAGTAGACAGACATTTTTTTTTTTTCTAAACATGAGTGTTTGCTGATATAGAAAAGGAGGATTTACTCTAAGAAACCAAGTTCCTGAAATAGGCCAGAAGAAGCTCAGCCTGTTCTGAGGGATCAGCATCAGCTTATGGCTGATGGCTGCATGGGCAACTGATGACCCAGGGGACGGAAGGGACACTCAGGCAGGAAGCCTCATTCAAGCTGGGCATAGAGGATGACAGCAAACATCCCACGAAGTGAAGTGGAGGCCCTCTGCTCAGCAAGGGGAAGTCAGGGCTTCGCATCTGCCTGAACAGGAAAACCTACTTCTAATCACCAGTAGTTATGCTCCTTCTTACTACCAAGTAAACCTGTAGTACACACTCTCTTTGTCTCTAAAACAATCCAGTGATGACTTGTTTATACATAAGACCACCAACCCATGAGGCATCAAGAAAACACTTGCCCCTTAGTTATTAAGGAGGAAAGTAACGAGCATGCCCCTTTCTGACAGGTAACAAAGTCACCTTGGGAGGCTATGCAGTAACTCTGGTTGGGGAAGGAATATGTGTTTATGTAGCTGTTCACTGGTCCCTAGAAAAGTCTGCACCCCTGCAAAAGAGAAGCTGTATAGTTACCAAGTTTGTCTCATTTATTCAGGTTTGCCCTGAGTTTTTCTTTTTTCTCCTAACTGATAATAAAAGAGCTGAGTACAAAACCTGGCTCTACTTTCCTTTAAGATAGGAGGAACTGAAAGGACCAGCAAAACCTCTGTTATAAAGTAAACACACCTAATGCTATGGACTCAGAGTTGCAGTGCAGGAACTTGATTTCCCAGTGGGAGCTCATGCCTTGCCCTTAGTAGGGGAAGGTGGCCTGAGGCAGGGTGGCAGTGGAGCCCCTAGGACTGGCTGCAGCTGCCCTGGGGTCTTTCAGGCCAGCACCCGCACCCTTACCTGTCTCCTGGGCTCAGTTCCAATCTCTCGTTGCCACACATGTCACAAGTGGGCCAGGAGAAAGCAGTGCTCTCATCCACCCCAATTACAGTGCCTAGGCCCAAGAGAAAGCAAAAGCTGGAGTTCCAGAGGCTGTGTCTTCCCTCCCAAATTCTCTTTGCCCCTCAAGACACAGATGGTAACATGAGATTCCTTAGACCCTTTTTTCTCACTTATGAGTTTATATAAATGGTCCCAAGCTTTTTATAATTTCCATGTACTGCACAAACAAAACTACAACAGTAAAAAGTAAGTTTTAAAACTTGCCCACATTACTACCCAAACAAGTATTTCTACTCTGCCTCATCTTTTTTAGTCTTTTTTTCCAGATGCATACATACTGAAATCATTATAAGCAAACCGTCAGGGCACTGTCTCATTATACTTTGTAGGTTGCTGTAGAGCTGTCATAAGGACTGTCTTATCGATATTCCATTTAGGTGATGTGTCATGATTCCCTCCATATTGTACATACAGGTCTGAGGCATTGGACAACTTTCCACAGAAGGCCTTTCCTGTACTAAGATCCCTTCCTTAGGATAGATTTCTGGCAGCAGAATCACTCTGTCAAGAATATGAATATTGGAGATAGAAACACCCTTTTTAGGAGGTGTTTCCCACAAGGATTTCCTGATTCACACTTTCACCATTCATTTACAGGGTGCTAGCTTCTCTGAGCTGCATGCTAGCATCACCTTGCTATTTGCCTCCTTAATAGGTATAATGGAATTCCTTACCATAGTTTCTACTTCTTTGATAAGGAAAGAGAAATATTCTTATTGCTTTGTTCATATCTCCTTGTATGTGATTTCTCTGGTTTCCTTCTCTTTTAATCCAATATTTGTGATTTATTTATTCAACAAGTAAATATGCATACAATGCTACTTAGTGTGGGATATATATTTAGCACAAAATATGTAACAATGAATGCTACAGTCCCTACTCTTGTGAACGCCATTGTCTGGTTGAGATGACCAAATAATGAGAAAAACATCATGAATATGGGAGAAAATATTCACAGAAAACACGTCTGATAATGGACTGGTATCCAAAATATACAACGAACTCTTAAAACTCAGCAACACAAACAACCCAATTAAAAGATGGGCCCAAGACCTTCACAGATATTTACAGATGGCAAATAAGCATATGAAAGATGTCAAACATCATGTGATAAGGGAAATGCAAATTAAAACACGGAGAACACCAAAAAAAAAAAAATTGCAATTAAAAATGGGCAGAGGAACTGAACAGACATTTTTCCAAAGAAGGCATTTGGATAGCCAAAAGACATATGAAAAGATGCTCAACAATACTCATCATCAAGGAAATACAAATCACAATCACAGTGAGATATCATCTCACCTATTAGGAAGGCGAAAATAAAAAGGACAAGAAATAACAAGTGTTAGTAAGGATGTGGAAAAAAGGAACCCTAGTGCACTGCTGGTGGGCAGGCAAACTGGGCATCCACTCTGGAAAAGAGTATTGAGGTTCCTCAGAAAATTAAAAATAAAAATAATTGAAACTCATGTAACACTGTAAGTCAACTATACCTCAATAAGTAAAAAAACAAAAACAAACAAAACAAAACACCCAAACACTCCATACCTATTAGAATGGCCAAAATCCAGAACACTGACAACACCAAATTATGGTAAGAATGTGGAGCAACAGGAACACTCATTCCTAGTTGGTGGTAATGCAAAATGGTGTAGCTATTTTGTCAGTTTCTTATAAAACTAAACATAGTCATACCATATGATCCAGCAATTGTATTTGGTGGTATTTACCCAAAGGAGCTGAAAACTTATGTCCAAACAAACACTGGAATAAAGATGTTTATAGCAGCTTTATTCTTAATTGCCACAACTGGAAACAACCAAGCTGTCCTTTAGTGGGTGAATGGATAAATAAGCTGTGGTACCTCCAGACAATGGAATATTACTCAGCACTAAAAAGAAATGAGCTATCAAACTATGAAAAGACATAATGACGCTCATTGCTTAATGCTCATTGCTTAGTGAAAGAAGCCAGTTTTTTTTTTTTTGAAAGATTTTATTTATTTATTTATTTGACAGAGAGAGAGAGAGAGAGCACAAGTAGACAGAGAGGCAGGCAGAGAGAGGGGGAAGCGGGCTCACCGCCGAGCAGAGAACCCGATGCGGGGCTTGATCCCAGGACCCTGGGATCATGACCTGAGCCGAAGGCAGAGGCTTAACCCACTGAGCCACCCAGGTGCCCCGAAAGAAGCCAGTTTGAAAAAGCTATATACTGCATGATTCCAACTTTACAACATTCTGGAAAAAACAAAACTACACAGACAGAAAAAACTCCAAAACTAAACAGATAGTTAAAAGATTAGTGGTTGCCAGGTATTAAGGGGGAGGTAGGGATGAATAGGTAGAGCAGAGGACTTTTAGGTTAGTGAAACCATTCTGTATGATACCATAGTAATGGATACATGTCACACATGTCTAAACCCATAGAATGTAAAATACCAAGAGTGAACTCCAATGTAAACTCTGGACTTTGGGTGATTATGATGTGACAATGTAGGAGATATATATATATATATATATAAAATCAACTATAACAAATGTACCACCCTGGTGAGGGATATTGATAGTGGGAAACTCAGTACATGTGTAGGGTATGGGGAAACTCTGTACCTTCTGCTCAACTTTGCTATAAACTCAAAACTTCTCTAAAAATAGTCTATTAAAAAATACCATGAAATAAATGCTACATTGAGAAATGGAAAAGGCTCCTGGAGGTATAGAAGAGAGGCCCTCTACAAGGTCAGGGAAGGTTTCCCAAAAGAAGATACATAAGGTGGGGCTGCAGTTGGGGTGGAGGGCACAGGCTGACCCTGTACCCTGAGGCAGGGCTGGAGGCCAGAGGGGTATGATGGAAAGGCAGGTGACATGGCTGTGAGGTTGGGAGACCCAAGTCACTTAATTGGGGATTTTAGACTTGGAAGGCAAGAGAAGCCAGTGAGGAATTTTAAACAGGAAATTGAGATGGTCTACTTTCTTGAAATGTGAAGCATTATAGATATCATCTAGATACGCTGGCAAATCCCAGACCATTCCTGTTGAAAAGTGGTGAAATAAGACAACTGAAAAGGAGTTAATATGTGACCTAAGTTTCCAGAAAAATAGAAGAATCATCCCTCCCACTCCTGGAGCAAAGAATTTCATTCCCCACAAAACAAGCATTAGAAGAAAATTTATCTGTAGAGGATAAAACAATTGTTACAACTAAGTAGGCTTGATTTACTAAAATGCATTCATGCAGTGCCCACTTGAAAGACTTTTTAAAAATGAAAATAATAGATCGTGATTTTGAAAAGGCTGTCCCAGCTAATTTCATTATCCTTGCAAATCTAATCAAGATTGAGTCAAAGGGATGAAAAATAAAGTCAATAATGGCTTATAATACAGCCGGAAAGGAGTGTTGACCAATTCATAAGGGGCAGAGGCATTAAGTAGGGCCAAGCAAGATGAGTCGCTTCTATTCCATGGGTGTCTGTGCCCAGCACTACTTAGTGTCTGCTACATGAACTAGTAAAAAGAAGACTGCTACCAACTTAACTTCTTTTTTATCCTAGGATATCTTTGGGTGTTAACTGCATTTACGTTTAGATGGGATTAAGCAATTTCCTTCCAGTAGGGAACAAGACACACTGAAGAAATTTATTTCATTTGCAGTCTACACATCACTGGAAGTGCCTTCTGGTAACTCTAAATAAATTCCAAGGGATGACTGGGAAGTGTACTATTCATTTACATGAACATCAGAAGTAAAAAAAAAATTATTAAAGTTTGAAGGTTTTGACACCATACTCATCATTTGGCTGCAATCTGCTATTAAAAGCTTTTACTTTCCTTATCTTATTTATAGAAATCTCTTGTAATTAGGCTTGGGAAAGGTATATCACATATTTATTAAAACATCTTTTTAAAAAGGTTCCTTCAAAGGCTTCTTCCTGGGAAGTGCAGTGGCTCCTTTCTAGTAGGGCACATAGCAGCGACGTGCTCTGGTATTTTCTTCAGTGACTTTTAACTCTCCACCACACCCTCCTCTCCAACCTTTTTTTCTGATGGAAAGAAGTTGGGGGTCAGAAGTGTTTCCTGCTAGTTAGAGGCCAAAGCCTGGTTTGAAGACAGGACTTGGCCATGCCTACCCAGGGAGACAGAGTACAAACGTGTGCTTGCTGAGTTCATGCCCACAGTGGTGAACAAGACCACCGCCCACTAGCAAGGGTATATAAAGAAGTGACGAGCAATGCAAATAGATAAAAATGAATGCTGCAAAACTTTGTCATCCTAAACAAATAAACTGGGAAGAAGTCCTTGCATAGTCTGGATACTGATGTTCGGGAAATGTAATGAGAAGGCCTGGGAACCCGAGGGAAGCACTGAGCACCATTCCCTCACAGAGGCTCCATTTCCTAAAAGCACTCATGCAGATGGACAAATGTTATTTCTCAGTGGGTGATGGCTCACAGGGCTGTACTATGAGTCTGTTCAAGCCCTGCTTAGAGAAAACGCTCAATGATCTGCAAGGTTCAAAACCCTGTTGGAGACCCCTATGTCCAGCTGATTTAGCTGCTGCAAGAGAGCTATCTAACTTCCAGAGTTGACTTCTTACAGATGATGAGATCCTGCTTGCAGCTACCTCTGGACAAGCCATCACTGGACTTTCTGGAACAGGGATGGGCAGAGTAGGGTAAGGCTCAGTTGCTGGGAAGGGGGTGTCTACTATTGTTACTTCACAAAGTAGTGAGGACTCTAGCCTTGCATGGCTTTGATGGGAGTTGAATCTGGGTGCGCCCACAGCTGGCTGGAGAGCAGGGCAGGGAGCCTCTGTGCCTCTCTGTCAGTGTGATCTGGTCAGTGCTCCAGCCTCGGCATTGACTGGGGTGTTCCTGTATGGGAGGCTGGGCCAATCTTTGCTATTTTGCAGCTGGGGTTTTGTTTTCTCTTAATCCTTAGTTAACTGGTTCTTATCAGAAGATCTGGCAGTACTGTGATAGCAGTGTTTACATACACATCCACCTGACCCACCCAGAGGCCTGCAGTACAGCTTCAGAGAGAGACTCACAGAAACTCAAGACTGAAATGGTGATGTGTGAAAGAAAATAATATAGGTCAGAAACTGGACCTATATAAACTAATGGAAGAGGATTAGAGAAAGAATACATGAAGGTGAAAGAAAATCCTTTACATCTGTTACTCTAAATTAATCTAAAATATAATAGTTTGCTTAAATAATAATAATAACAATGTATTCAGTGACTATACCTTATGGAGAAGTGAAGTGATTATCAGCAAGGGAGGGAGGAACTGAGAATATCCTTACAAGATACCTGTACTACCCCTAAAGCAGGACAGTGTTATTTGAAAGTGGACTTGATTCATTTTAAGTGTATCTAGGGCAACCACTAAAGAATGTTTAAAAAAAAAAGTGTTAATATGCTGAGAGAGAGGAGAAAATAGAATCATAAAATGCTCAACTGAAATGAGAAAAGGCAGAAAGAGGGTAGATAAAAAAACGAAAAGGGCGCCTGGGTGGCTCAGTGGGTTAAAGCCTCTGCCTTCGGCTCGGGTCATGATCCCAGGGTGCTGGGATCCAGTCCCTGATCGGCTCTCTGCTCAGCAGGGAGCCTGCTTCCTCCTCTCTCTCTCTCTCTCTCTCTGCCTGCCTCTCAGCCTACTTGTGATCTCTATCTGTAAATAAATAAAATCTTTAAAAAAACAAACAATAAAAATGAGCAATGAATAGAAAATAATTATAAATATGATAGATACTAATCCAATTATGTATGAGTACTGATTTTAAATGTGAATGGTTCAAAAACACAAAAGAGACTATCAGAGTGGGCAGAAAAACAAGAGCTAACTCTATATTGTCTACAAGAAACCCATTTCAACTCTAAAGACACATAAAGATTAAAAGTAAAGTTATAGAAAAAGATATAACCTGCTAACACCAATAAGAGAGTTAAAAGTTGTATTAATTTCAAGCAGAGCAGACTTTAAAGAAAATTATCCGAGATAAAGAAGGGCATTAAATAATGATAAGGGAGTCAATTTACCACACAATTTACCACACAAATGATAAGGGAGTCAATTTACCATACACAATATGTGTATGTGCGTGTAACAACAGACTGTGAAAATATGTGAAGCAAAATGATAGAACTTCAAGGAGAGATAAATAAACCTACCATTATATTTTATTTATTATTCTTTGAGACATCAATACCCGTCTATAAATGACTGACAGATTTAAAGGCAGAAAATCATAGTTGAACTGAACAGCACCACCAATCAATTGACTCTAACTGACATTTATAGAATATGCCATCCAATGACAGCAGAATAAATATTTTTGTCAAGCTCATGTGGAACATCCATCAAGACAGAACACAAAGTGGGGGCATAAAACACATTTAAATTTATAGAAATCATACTAAGTATGCTCTTAGATCATAATGAAATTAAACAGAAGTCAATAACAAAAAGATAGCTGAAAAACTCCCAAATAATTGGAGATTAATATACTTCTAAGTAACACATGGGTCAAAGAATAAATCTCAAGAGAAATTTTAAAATATTTTGAACTAAATGAAAATAAAAACACATCAAAACTGCAAAAGCAGTGCTTAGAGAGGAATTTAAAGCACTGTATGCATACACTAGAAGATATCTAAGGTCAATAATCTCAGTATTCATCTTAGGAAAAAAAGAAAAAGATAATTTAACAATCTATAAAATGGTTATAATTTTATATTTTGTTATTCCCACCTATACATTATTATTTTTTTTTAAATATGAAGTTCTTCAGAAACTAGAAAAACCAGGTCTTCTCTTTCCCCACAAGAATCTACATGTTTTCCTCTTTTTGCATCTCTGTGGCATTCACTGGCTATGGATAATGGGTTAGGTTTCAAGCCTTCCCTTAGAAGCCAGATCTTCAGGTACATATTTTCTCATAACATGGTGCTATAGGTGGTGGTTATTATTATGGTCTTATAATAACAGAGTCCCATACAGCTTTTTTTTTTTTTTTAAGATTTATTTATTTGAGAGAAGAGAGAGCAGAGGGAGAGACTCTTTTTTTTTTTTTTTTTTTTTTTTTTAAGATTTTTTTTTTTATTATTTATTTATTTGACAGAGAGATCTCAAGTAGGCAGAGAGGCAGGCAGAGAGAGAGGAGGAAGCAGGCTCCCTGCGGAGCAGAGAGCCCGATGTGGGCCTCGATCCCAGGACCCTGGGACCATGGCCTGAGCTGAAGGCAGAGGCTTTAACCCACTGAGCCACCCAGGCGCCCAGAGGGAGAGACTCTTAAGCAGACTCCATGCTGAGCACTGAGCCTGAAGCAGGCTTCCATCCTATGACCCATGAGATCACAACCTGAGCCAAAACCAAGAGTCAGATGCTCAACCAACTGAGCCCCCCAGTTGCCCCAGGGTCCCATGCAGCCTAAGCAGTGTGGGTGAGTGGCAGTCCCTCTCAAATGTGGGGCAGCGAACACTGCTGCGAGGCTATTCTCACACCCTACTCTCTCAGCACCTGACCAATCCTGGGCTCTGAGAGGTGAGGGTGGGATGAGAACAGGTGGCAGCCAGTGAAGAGAATGAAGGTGGAAGGGAGGCACAATTTAGTTCAAAATATTTTAACATTTTATGTGGAGACATGCAAGCGGTAGCAGGAGGTGGGCAGAGTGACAAGGACAGGTGCACAGTGCATCTGCTGCAGGCCATGCATCTGCACTGTGCACTGTCCTCACAGCCTGTGTCCAGAGGCCCAGCAAAGCCAACTCTTGGAAACCCCCACAGTCCACTTAGCCTCTGCAGACTCTCAGCCCTTCCTTCCCTGCATGCTTCCAAATAGCCTATAAGCAACTAATCTGGCTTTGTGCCATAGTCTATCTATGGTGTTGACAGAATTGCTTCACTTAATACAACAAATTGATCATACAACCTCCTTAGCATGGCTGGGAACAGTAAGTAGAACAAGACCTCCCACCTCCTCTGTGGGTTTTCCATATGGCCTTCATCTGTCTGGAAGACTGTCACCACTCTGACAAATCCTAACTATCCCAAGCTGCCTCACTGGCTCTTGCCCTCAGCCAGCCCTCCTGGTCTGTAGCAGTGGAAGCACTGAGATATCATCCTTCCCCATTAGTCTGTGAGTGCTCCAAGGCCCCAAAGCCTCATGTGCATTATCTTATTTGATTCTCAACAATGCTTTAAGGTGGATTCTATTAGACCTGTGTTACAGATGAGAAAATGGAAGACCCAAATGACAGGTGGCTTGTTAGAGTCTGCTTTCTTCAGAACCACAAGGCTATACTGCTCTCATTTCTCAAATCAGATTTGAGAAATCACATTTGAGATTTCTCAAGAAATGAAGAAGTGAAGAATGAAGAAGAAATGAAGAAATAATCTTTCTTCAAATCACAGTCTTAGTCATGTTTTGGTACTAACACTAAAAGAAGATGCACAGAAAAGAAAATCCAAATCGCCTCAACACAATGAATGAGTGTTCAATCTCACAAGCAGGCAGGGGAATGTGAATTAAACCAACAACAATGGGATCAGAGTTTTGCTGTTCATAAAAATTATAAAAAGATTCAGGAATCTAGTAGTGGGCAAGCCTGGGGAAGTAGGCCTCTTAGAAATTACTTTTGAAAATGTGAATTTTTGTATGCTTTTTGGAAATTAACTTAATATCTTTTAATATTAAGGATATACCAATAGTGTGGCCACTTCAGAAAACACTTACACATTTCTTCAAAAAGGCTAAGCATAGGGTTTCCCATATGATCCAGCAATTCTACTCCTAGATACATATGCAAAATTTGAAAAAGGTTGTTCAAACAAAAACTTGTTCATAAATATCCATAGCAGCACCATTTACAATAGCCAAAAAGTGGAAACAACCCAATGTCCATTAACTGATGAATGGATAAAGCAAGATGTGGTATATCCATATAATGAAATATTCAGCCATAAAAAGAAATGAAGTGCTGATATCTGGTACATCATGGATAACTTTGAAAACATTATGCCAAATGAAAGAAGTCAATCTTGAAGGATTATATAATATGTGATTCCATATATGTGAAATATCCAGAACAAGCAAATTCTATTACAAAGACAGAAAGTAGATTAGTGCTTTCCTAAGACCAGGGTAAGGCTGGGGTGGGAGAGCATAATGGGGAGTGATTGACAATGGACGTGAGGTTTATTTTTGGGATGATGACAATGTTTCTTTTTAAATACTTTAAAAAAATTTTTTAATTTTAGTTTTTCAGTGTTCCAAGAGTCATTGTTTATGCACCATACCCAGTGCTCCATGTAATACATGCCTGCCTTAATACCCACCACGAGACTCACCCAACCTCCACCCTTCTCCCCTCCAAAACCCTCAGTTAGTTTCCCTTCCTTCCTTCCTTCCTTCCTTCCTTCCTTCCTTCCTTCCTTCCTTCCTTCCTTCCTTTTTCTTTTTTTTTAATAATCTCTACACTCAATGTGCTGTCAAACTCACAACCTGAGATCAAGAGTTATATGTTCTAGGGGCGCCTGGGTGGCTCAGTGGGTTAAAGCCTCTGCCTTCGGCTCAGGTCATGATCCCAGGGTCCTGTGATCAAGCCCCGCATTGGGCTCTCTGCTTGGCAGGGAGCCTGCTTCCTCCTCTCTGCCTGCCTCTCTGCCTACTTGTGATCTCCGTCTGTCAAATAAATAATTAAAATCTTAAAAAAAAAAAAAGAGTTACATGTTCTACCGACTGAGCTAGCCAGGTGCCCTGACAATGTTTTAAATTAGATTGGGGTGTTGGCTGCACAACTCTGGGAATATACTAAAACATTTTAAATGACTGAATTGTAGCTATGTAAGTTATATCTCAAAAAAGTTGGTTAAAAAATATATGAACCCTGAGACCCTGAAATCTTTTTGCATAGACATCAGTAGAGATTGATTTGAAGGATATTTATTTCAGCCTTGTTTATAACTGCAAAAACAGAGGAACATCTTCGATATCCATCAGCGGAGAGACAGTTTATTCAAAGGAGGGAATATTATGCAACTATTACTATCCTGCGCTACATCTTTATCTATCCACCTGGATGGACGTCCCTCCTAAAGTACTAAGATAAGTAAGGAAAGCACGTGACAGGATAATGGGCTTACAAAGTATTGTGAAGTCACACAGCTTCCTCCAAAGGGGGCAAATGCATGTGTTCCTGTGTTAACAGGGTGCAGCATGGCAGGAAACTGTTTCTCTTTCCCTTTATTAATCTTTCACTAGTTCCACTGGACATGCACTACTTTTATCACTAAAAACATGTGAAAGTTAAAAAAGAGTATTAATGCTGTGTTCAGCGCAAGACTCATATATCCAACCAGCTACTGAAACATCTCAGATGTACCAAAAACACCTAAACTCTCCAAGACAGAGCTAAGATTGTTCTCTCAAAGCTGGCCTCTTCCACCATGTCCTATTCCAGTAAACAGCTCTACCATTGCCTTGTTGCCTAAGCCAGAATCTCAGAATTCTCACCCTCTATCTATGCCTTGCTCCCTCTGTACTGAATTCACTACTCAACGGGTCAGTTTTTCCCAAATAAACCCACTTCCAGATTTACTTTGCCTCCTCCCTTGTTTCACATCTTGGGACCGGTGCTTGCCTTCCCACTGAATGACTATCCAAGGCCCTGGTCCTTCAACTCTGCTCTGCAGAGACAAAACCTGGAATACCTGTCTCTCTGTCCATGACAGAGTACACTCCTGCCAGGGCCACCCACTTGGGCAGTGGTTAGCCCTTCAGCCTAATCTCCAGTCCTTCCATCCATCCAACTAGACGCATTTCCTGCCTCCTTCCAGACTCTGGTGCTCCCCCACTCTGCCAGGTCTGCAGCCTTTATATCCTATTCTTTTCCAGTCAGATAGTCTTCCTGCTCAATTACTTAACTGATTACTTCCTATCCTACAGATCTCAGCACAAGGCTCCTGTCCTTGGAGAGACTACAGTGAGCTCCCTGACAAGGTGAGGTCTCAGCAATCAGCACCTGGAGCACTCAGCACATTGCAGTTCAATGCTTGATTGAGTGCACAGCTCGCTGAGGTCTTTCTATACACACTCGAAGTCTAAGAGGCAAGAACCTCCAATCCAAAGGTTGGAAAATATCAGACATAAAAACTTGTTGAATAAATGAAATTAATATGAAGTATAATATTTAAAAATATATAAATACCATTTCCTCCAGGATTGACTACCCACCTTGAATGCTGCAAATGGAGTTGACCTGAGTAACAGAAACCAGTTCATTGAGCTTCACAGGGCCAGTCAGTTCACAGGAGTGAGCTCCGGAGTCCACACCCAAACGGGGCTTTTGAAGCAAGAGGACACTTCGTTCAACACAAACAATATGACCTGCCAACAGAGACCCTTCAGATTATTGAAGCACTGAAGAAGAAAGTGAGTTATCCTGCCAGTGAAGACAGGGTCCTTTGCCAACCCCCCATAGGCAGAGGGCACAGTTTTGGGGCCCATCCATTGTATCCAATGACATATGCACTGGACAGAAAGGAAATGCTAAAGCCACCAGTGTGCTAAGCAGGCCAAGCACACAAAACTAGATTTAAATTCATTTTAGGATAGTGAATTCTGTGGTACACAAATTATACTTCAACAAAATAAAATAAAAATATATAGTTTGGGCAGGATTCTACTCTGATCCCTGGAAAAAAGGAACTAACTGATCTGTGTATATTTATAATATTCCAGCTTTTTGTTTGTTTTAAAAAGTGATGTTCTAGGCAATGGCTTCAAGTGACTTCTGCACCTGTAAGTGTGCCACCAAGAGACAATCCGTGAGTCACCAATGGCATCTTTCACAGGGAGTGTCAGCCCTGCAGGGGTTCTGGTTCTCTCCAGGTGGCCCATGACAGGAGCTAGTGAAAGCTGAAGGCTGGTACCATAGGCCTCTTCCACTCCATGTGCCATGTCCAAGGTTAGCTTCATGAAGGAGCCAGCAGTTCCAGAGAAAGGCAAAGCTACAACGCCATTTTATGGCATCTATCAGTCACCACTGGGTCAAACTATGAAGAAGAAAGCATACCCTGGGCTCGGACAGTGTCCCTGAAGAGAAAGCTATGAGAGACAGCTTCGGTGAGCGCTTCCAGAACTTCCTGGCTCAACACACATGAGGGGGCCACACAGACTGGTATGGTTTTGGGGAGGCCAGAGTTATTCTCATCCTGCATCTGGAGGGTGGCATCAGTCACCATCAGCCAAATCTCCCTTTGCTGTGGAGGAAACAAACTGTTTAGCTACAATTCAAAGACATAGTCAAGTCTATTAACTTTACTAGCTATTCTTATATCCAAAGCTTTAATAAAGCAGTTAGGTTAGATGATTATTACTAACAATTTTAGTTATCATTCCAACAAATATTTTCAAATATACAATAGACTCTGCGTATCTTGGTCACTAGCCCCCATTGACATGACTGTGCTCTGAGAGCCTAAACCCTGTACCTGTTTAAAGGGCTCCTTTAGGGGCGCCTAGGTGGGTCAGTCATTAAGTGTCTACCTTCAGCTGAGGTCATGATCCCCGCAAGCCCAGCATCGGCTCCCTGCTCAGCAGAAGGCCTGCTTTGTCTTTTCCCACTCCCCCTGCTTGTGTTCCCTCTCTAGCCACCTCCCTGTCAATTAAATAAATAAAACCTTAAAAAAAAATAATAGGCTCCTTTACTAGGATACAATCTGCCCTTCCCTGGCACTACTGTACTTGTCCATGAATTACTCACGGGGATTGTTCTTTTCTCCAGATCACTCTTTCCGATACCTAGAATGTTAATTACCACATTGTTTTATATTTAGTCCATACATGTTCTTCTTTCCTATTAGATCTAAGTTTCCTAAGGATCAGTGATATGAACTGAGTATTTATATCTTACCCCCCCACCAAATCCCCAATTCATATGCTAAAGTCCTAACCTCCAGTGTGATAATGGTAGGTAATAAGGTCATAGGGTGGAGCCCTCGTGATGGGATTTGTGTCCTTATTAGACAATAATTTCCTCATTCTCCCCTCCACATGGTAAGGATACAAGGAGATATCCTATTTTAAACCAAGAGAGCCCTCACCTCCCTAAGAACTTGACCTGTTGGCACTTTGACCTCAGACTTCAGTACTCCAGACTTGGGAGAAGTAAACTGCTGCAGTTTAAGCTACACAGTACATGGCATTTTGCCACAACAGCCCAAACTGACTGAGGCAGGAATACTTGTTACTTGTCTCAGACTTTGTGTACGCTCTGATGTAAAGCAGGTATAAATATTTGTTGTATCTGCAACAAATTTACTTTTTTTTTTTTTTAGTTTTTTTTTCTTTTTATTTAAATACAATTATGTTAACATACTGTATTACTAGTTTCAGGGGTGCAATTTAGTTTTTCATCAGTTGCATATAAGACACAGTGCTCATTAAATCAAGTGCCCTCCGTAATGCCCATCACCCAGCTACCCTATCCACCCACCCACCAACAACACTCAGTTTATTTCCTACAGTTAGTCTCTGATGGTTTGATCTTACTTTATTTTCCTTCCCTTTTCTTTCCCTTCTATTCATGTTTTTTTTAAATTCCACATATGAGTGAAATCATATGATATTTATCTTTCTCTGACTTATTTCGCTTAGCATAATACTCTCTAGTTCTATCCACATCATTGTGAATGGCAAAATTTCATTCTTTTTAATGGGTATGTAATATTCCATCATATATTATACCCCACATCTTCTTTATCCAATTCCTCTGTCAATGGACACTGATCTTTCTACAGTTTGGCTATTGTGAACATTGCTGTCATAAACACTGGGATGCAGGTGCTCCTTCTGATCATCATGCTTTTATCCTCTGGACAACTGTAATTGCTGGGTCATAAGATAATTCTGTTTTTAACTTTTAAGGAACCTCCGTACTGTTTTCCAGAGGGCTGTACCAGCTTGCATTCCCAATAGTGTAAGAGGGTTTCCCTCTTTGAGCATCCTCGCCAACATCTATTGTTTCCTGAGTTGTTAATTTTATCCATTCTGACTGGTGTGAGGTGGTATCTCACTGTGGTTTTGATTTGTATTTCCCTGATGATGAGTGATGTCAAGCATTTTTTCATGTGTCTGTTGGCCACTGTATGTCTTCTTTGTAGAGATATCTGTTCATATCTTCTGCCCGTTTCTTGACTGGATTATGTGGGGTTTTTTGGGTGTGGAGTTTGATAAGTTCTCTATAGATTTTGGATACTAGCCCTTTATCTGATAAGACATTTGCAAATATCTCCTCCCATTTCATAGGTTGCCTTTTAGTTTTGTTGACTGTTTCCCCTGCTGTGGAAAAGCTTTTTATCCTGATGAAGTCCCAATAGTTCATTTTTGCTTTTGTTTCCCTAGCCTTTGGAGATATGTCTAGCAAGAATTGCTGTGGCTGAGGTCAAGAGGTTGCTGCCTGTGTTCTCCCCAAGGATTTTGATGGATTCCTGTCCTACATTTAGGTCTTTTGTCCATTTTCATTCTTCTGCATGTGGCTGTCCAATTTTCCCAATACCATTTGTTAAGGGACTGTCTTTTTTTCCATTGGATATTCTTTCTTGCTTTGTTGGAGATTAGTTGACCATAGAGTTCAGGTTCCATTTCTGGGTTCTCTATTCTGTTCCATTGATTTATGTGTCTATTTTTATACCAGTACCACACTATCTTGATGATACCAGCTTGATTACAGCTTTGTAATACAGCTTGAAATCCAGAATTGCGATGCCTCCAGCTTTGGTTTGACTTCTTCTTTGCTGCTTTGGATGCATTTTCTTTCTTTTTGTTGTCTAATTGCTGAGGCTATGACTTCCTGTACTATGTAGAACAACCATACTGAGAGTGAACATCTCTGTCATGTTCCTGACCTTAAGGGAAAAACTCAGTTTTTCCCCATTGAGGATGATATTCACTGTGGTTTTTTTGTATTTGGCTTGTATGATATGGAGGTATATTCCCTTTACTCCTACCCTGTGGGGAGTTTTAATCAAGAAAGGATGCTGCATTTTGTCATTTTTTTTTAATCAATTGAGAGAATCATATGGTTCTTGTCTTTTCTTTTATTAATGTGGTGTATCACACTGATTGATTTGAAGATGTTGAACCACCCCTGTAGTCCAGGAATAAATCCCACTTGATCATGGTGAATAATCCTTTTAATGTACTATAGGAGCCTATTGGCTACTATCTTGGTGAGAATTTTTGCGTCCATGTTCATCAGGGATATTGGTAATTCTTTTAGTGGGGTCTTTGGTTTTGGGATCAAGGTAATGCTGGCCTCATAGAATGAGTTTGGAAGTTTCCCTTCCATTTCTATTTTTTGGAACAGTTTCAGAAGAATAGGGGTTAATTCTTTTTTAAGTGTTTGGTAGAATACCCCTGGGAAACCATCTGGCTCTGGACTCTTGTTTGTTGGGTAATTTTTGATTACGGATTCCATTTCTTTGCTGGTTACGGGTCTGCTCAGGTTTTCTATTTCTTCCTATTTCAGTTGGGGTAGTTTATATGTCTCTAGGAATGCATCCATTTCTTTCAGATTGTTGAATTTATTGGTGTAGAGTTGCTCATAGTATGTTCTTATAATTGTTTGTATTTCTTTGGTGTTGGTTGTGATCTCTCCTCTTTCATGACTTTATTGATTTGGGTCTTTTTTCTTTTTGATAAGTCTGGCTAGGGGTTTATTGATCTTATTCTTTCAAGGAACTAGCTCCTACTTTTGTTGATCTGTTCTACTGTTTCTTTTTTTTTTTTTAATTTCTATATCATTGATTTCTGCTCTAATCTATATCCTGGATTTAGGCTTTATTTGCTCTACTTTCCCCAGCTCCTTTAGGTGTAAGTTTAGGTTGTATATTTGAGACTTTTGTTTCCTGAGAAAGGCGTGTATTGCTATATACTTCCCTCTTAGGACCAATTTTGCTGCATCCCAAAGGTTTTGAAGTGTTGTGTTTTCATTTTCATTTATTTCCATGTATATTTAAGTTCTCCTTTAATTTCCTGGTTGACACAGTCATTCTTTAGTAGAATGTTGTTTAGCCTCCATATATTTGTGGGCCTTCCAAATTTTTTCCTGTGGTTGACTTCAAGTTTTATAGCATTTTGGTCTGAAAATGTGCATGGTATGATCTCAATCTTTTGTACCTGTTGAGACCTGATTTGTGACCCAGGATGTGATCTATTCTGGAGAATGTTCCATGACTACTTGAGAAGATTCTGCTGCTTTAAGATGAAATTCTCCAAGTATATCTGTGAACTCCATCTGGCCCAGTGTGTCATTCAAATCTCGTTTTGTTTTTGATCTTCTGCTTTGATGATGTGTCCATAGGTCTGAGTGGGGTGTTAAGTCCCCTACTATTATTGTAGTATTATCAATGAGTTTCTTTCTTTCTTTGTAAAGATTTTATTCATTTATTTATGAGAGAGAGAGGAAAAAAAAAACAAAACAAAACACACAAGTGCAGGGAGGAGCATAGGGAGAGAAAGAGAAGCTGACTTCCTGCTGAGCAAGAAGCCTGACATGGGGCTTGATCCCAGACCCAGAGATCATGACCTGAGCTGAAGGCAGATGCTTAACCCACTGAGCCACCCAGGCACCCCCATTCTGATATCCTTTGTCTTTTGATTGGAGCATTTAGTCCATTTATATTCAGAGTAATTCAACTATTCAAAATAGTTGGATGTTGTGTTCCAAGGACAAGGAAAGCTCAGTGTCTCCCCTACTACCCTGCCATCTTAACTCCAGTAATGATCTTTCTCTTTTAGTCTTTTTTTATTATTATAATTTTCTTGTATCTACAAAAGTTGTAATGCCTTCTCAAGTTAATTATAATGGAATTTTTTCCTCTCCCCTTGCTCAAGGTTTAGGATTCAGTATATCCAAATGGGAACAATGCTTTGCCTGGGAAGACCCTTATGGTCAGCAGGGCTGGACCATGAGAACCTGGCTGGCCTGAGACTCAGTTGGTGCTACTGTTGTGGATGGCATAATCAGGCTGAGGATTCCATTTGGCTGACTGACAGGACTGGGCAAAGAAAGTGACTTGGATGGTGAGGAACTGTGGCTTGGGGTGTAGGGGGCAGCTCACATGGTTGGGAGTTTGATCACAGATTGGAAATTAGATTAAATTATATTGAGGAAAATGAGAGCCAGGTTTTCTCATTTATATAAGTTATATAAGAGAGTTATAAATATGGAAATAGAGAAACCTAGAGTCAGTTCTGT